TTCCAGCACCTGATAGATTTGGTGCTGGCGGGGCTAGAGTAGGAGACGTGCCTCATATATTTGGACGACGTTATTGTATTCAGTCGCACCTTCGAAAAACACCTTCAACGGCTGGAGGCTGTCTTTCAAAGAATGCGATCGGCCGACGTCAAATTTAAACCAAAAAAATGCCGTTTGTTGCAACATTCTGTCCGCTACCTCGGACACATCGTCAGCTCTAGTGGTGTGTCCACTGACCCTCAAAAGACGTCGTGTGTTCGTGAGTGGCTGACGCCCACTTCTGTGGGTGACGTGCAACGGTTCATAGGCTTTGCATCCTATTATCGCCGGTTTGTTAAGAATTTCGCGACGTTGGCAAAAACCTCTGCATGTCCTGACGGGAAAGAATCAGAGATTCAAATGGGGTCCGGAAGAGGAACTGGCTTTCCAGTCTCTCCGGGATCGCTTGGCCACTGCGCCGACACTCGACTACCCCGATTTTTCCCAACCGTTCATCATGGACACGGATGCTAGCGACACCGGCATCGGTGCTGTTTTGTCACAGCGGAAGGATGGTGTTGAACGAGTGGTGGCATATGGCAGCAGGGTTTTGTCTCCCGCCGAAACGCGCTATTGCGTTACTCGTCGGGAGTTGCTGGCGATCGTCCATTTTGTTCGCCAGTACCGGCCGTACCTGTATGGTAGAAAATTCCTTGTGCGCACTGACCACGCTGCCTTGCAATACTCGCTAAAATTGGAACCGTCCGGACAATTGGCTCGATGGTTGAAATTGTTGCAGGAATTTTCTTTTGATATCACATACCGTAAAGGTACCCGCCACGGCAATGCAGACGCTCTTTCCAGATTGTCCTTGAACCCTCCCTGCGCCTGTTTGACGGGTACACATCGCTGCGCAGAGCCGCCCACCCCTCCCTGTCCGGTTATGGGTGCGATGCCAAACGATGACGGCCGGTGTACACCCGTTGGGGCCGATGGCACGCTGCATTTGCCGCACTCTTTGGCTGCGTGATGAAAGGGCGGATGCCTCGTTGGCTCCACTGTGGGATCTGGTCGGAAAGCCAAGATCTCACTTGTCGGCCGGGAAATCGCAGTTATTTACTGACCGGGAAGGGTTGCTAATGTGCACAGACAGTTTGTCGGACCGTTCACACCTTGTTGTGCCATCATCTCTTCGCCATGATCTTATTCACGCGCTGCACGCCGTGATAATGAGCTGGTTGCTCTAGATATCCTCGGCCCGTTTCCCCCATCAGCAAGGGGTAATAAGTATCTCTTGGTCGGGGTCGAATATTTTTCTTGTTGGCCTATGGCCTGGCCTCTACCCGACCAATCGGCTTCGTCTATCACCGAGGCTTTCTTGAATGGATACGTGATGGATAAGCGGACTCCTGAGAAATTACTCACGGATCAAGGACGTAACTTCTCCTCTAAATTGCTCCGGGACGTATGCGCTGCTTTGGGTACGAAGAAAATCTGCACTTCCCCTTACCACCCGCAGACGGATGGAATGGTGGCACGATTTAACCGTACCCTTTTGGCCATGCTCTGTCACACAGTGAGCGAAAAGCAGACCGAATGGGACTTGCACATACCTGGCGTTCTGTCGGCGTACCGCATGGTCCCGCACGCGTCCACGGGGTATTCGCTATTTTTTATTATGTATGGGCGGGAAAACGTGCCTCCGATTGATGTGCAACTCAGTGCAGCGGGAAAGGAACCCTCCCCTTCCTTGCCTGACCACGTCCGTGACTCGCTTCGGCGTGTTACGGAGGCACGGGAAGCCGCCAGGAGTGCAACGGCCCGTACACAGGCACGGAACGAGAGATACGCGCTTCGATCGCGACGTGACATGCCTTCGACGGTGGGCGACGCGGCATGGCTCCATTGCCCTCAGGTGCCTGTGGGCACGTCCCCTAAACTGCACAGGCCTTGGCGTGGGCCTGTGAGACTAATAGAAGTCCGGAATCCCCAAAGTATTCGCATCCAGTACGGACTGCGTCGTTGGTATGTCCACTCATCACGTCTCAAACCTTATTTCGAACCACGCACTGGCCCTTCATCCCCACTTGCTGACCTGCCGGGGTCTGATGTGCCTGATGTGCCACTTGCCTCGCCAATTGATCCCCAGTGGGGACGTGTTCTACCCCCCGCAGACACACAGGCCTTGAAGAGCGTCGAGGCCCCTGACGAGTAACCTCTGACGAGGCCCGTTCCATCCACGGAGGACGCCGAACCCGCTCCTCCTCCACTGCCCCCTCCTACTGACCAGTCGGCGAGACGACCACGCTCTATGGGGGGAGAGGGACCGGCGTCGCGCACGCGATCAAAGTCGCTCCCATTTCGTTAACACCGTTGCCATGTTTTATCTGTAACCCCTTCTGTTATACGCGCTACAGTTGGCGCCCTAATGTCGTATTGCTCCAACATCGCACATTGTTTCGTACCCTAAAATGTTCATTTTCAACTGCGCGTTGTTCGGCGCCCTACTAACCTTACCTCATTACGCGTCATTGGCGCCCTAAATATTAGTCGCAGGGGTTGGCCCATCGCCCTTTTCCCAGCCGAGACGGCTGACTTTTTACACTGGGGGGGGGGGGGGGGGGGGGTGATGTAATGTGAGGTTACACCTGGATGATAAATGGGTTACACCTGGATGATTAATTGGTTACACCTGGATGATAATGATTGACTCTGCCGGCCTCAGCCCACAACCAATGGGGAGTCGAGCCAGGGGCGCGACCCTGATGTAATGCGAAGGTTACACCTGGAAGAGGATGATTGGCTCTGCTGGCTTCAGCCGCAACCAATGGGGAGGCGAGTTAGGGGCATGGCCCTGGGGCCGGAGGATGGGCTCTGGAAGGTTCCAGGGAGGTGGCCGAGGATTGGCTGCGAGGCACCACGTGTGCCAGGGATTAAAAGGGGTGGAGACGAACAGCACGTGGTCAGAGCTTGGAGGAACGAAGGCGAAGCCACGCTGGTGCCGTGGTCCGGAGTCTGCCACGTGGCAGGCCGTGGCAGTCTCTCTCTCTCTCCCTCTCTCTCTCTCCCTCTCACGCTGTCTGCCAACAGAACTTAATAAAGAATACTGAATTCAAGACGTTGTCTCAACGACCTTTATTACACATAGTGTAATATTACAATGTATAGTCTAAGGTGGTGTATAGTAATGCAGTGTATAATTTAATGCTGGGTTTGTCTATGGCAGTGTATAGTACAGGGTATATCCGTGTGATGTAAGAAAAAAGTTTAGCTGGAGGCATATTATATTTTTTGCGACATAGAAGTGTAATGTATGACTTACTGTTAGTAGCTCAGATTATTGGGTATATTGATGATATTGATGTAGTTTATATTTTAGTTTTTTACGTGGTAGTTTGGCTGCTGCAGCCCCTTACTATTAAAATTTCCCTCCCTTTATTACTGCTAATCCTACTTCCTCCCTTTATACTGCTAATCCTACATAATACACGAGCATATGACTTTGAGACCCCCCCACCACCAACACATTCCACAAGTAGTGACTAATCCCACATCTGCATTTTCCATAAATATGCTAAATTCATCTGTCAAGGCACTCTCCTCCTCTAACCCAGCTTAAATATACGCTGCCAAGCTTGGTGGTGGTCATTCGGACGCTGTCTTTCCGACAGCCCTGTTCTTCACCTGATGACGGCTGCTTGCATTGTGGCCGAAACGTCGTGAGAATTTTATTTAATAATGTTTTATTTTAAATTATTTTATTATTTCCCTTTTACGTGACTTTACCGAAAGAACCAAGAAGAACATTTATATCTCTTTTACAATATATATTCCTCTTTCTCTCTTTCAACATGTAATCTTTTCCTTTTTTTTTAAATGCCTCTCTTCCCATCTGGTATAAAATCTGCATCTCCCCTACGCTATTATAATAAAGGTCGTGGAAGCGACTTCTGGAATCCGGTCTTTATTTGTCTTTCGTTCACAACACTCCTATCTTACTCCTTCACGCTGCTGACAGACAGCGTGGGAGGGAGAGAGAGACACGCGCGGCCACGTGGCAGCCTGGACCCCGCTCCAGCGTGGCCTCACCCTCCGTTCATTCCAGATCTGACCATGTGTTGTCCGTCTCCACCCCTTTTAATACCCGGGTCACGTGGTACCTTTCCACCAATCCTGGTTAACCTCTATGGAATCTTCTAGACTCCATCGTACATTCCCAGGACCGCGCCCCTGACTCGTCCCCCCATTGGCTGTGGCTAAAGCCAGCAGATCCAATCCTCTACTTACAGATGTCACCTTCCCATTACGTCAGGACCACGCCCCTAGACTTCCCCCATTGGCTATGGGCCAGGACCGGTAGAGCCAATCATCGTAACGAGGTGTGATCCATCAGCAACCCGGATATATCCTCACATTACACTATCATTAATTCTCTCGTTTAAATTTTGTTTCCTTTCTTCTCATTGTTTGCTGATCTCTCCTTGTATTTCCCCCCACATTTTCTCCAAGTTTCTGTCCAAATTTACCAAAAGTCGTACAACAGTGCTGCTGTTTTCAGTGTCATGCACTGAGGCAAATTCTGCACAAGCCTTTCCACAGCTGCCAGTCGGCTGAGCTTCAACTCATGCGGGGAACGGCCCAACAGCTCCAGATCCACCTAGAGGCACTTCCCTCGGCCCATTCCACAAAGCACTGCACAGTGCTCCTGCACGCTCTGTACAGTCTTGATGCCTTGCCTACCGGGCCTTCAATATACAGTAGTTGTAATTCTGAGACCACAAAGCTGGAATAGGCTAAATTAAGTAAATATAACATGACAGATTGCTGTTTTGTGACATAACTAAGACCACCACATTCACTACACAACAACCTTGTTCCATCACAGATGTCCCAATTTCAGTTTTAAACCTCTACAAGATTTATATTCAATCTCAATTCCAGACTGCATATTATTTTTTTAGCTATTTAACCAGGGAAGCCACACCGAGTCATACGACTCTTTTTCAAGGGGGGTCCTGCATTGCGTTTTTATTTTTAGATGTGTTCAAAAAATGTATAATGAGTGTTTATACAAGTGGGAGGAAAACCCCCCTTCATATGAATTATGAGAACATTTCTTCACTTTTGTTCATCCGCATTCTGCCAATCCCTTTCCGATCCCCAGTTGTACATCACTGTGACATATTCCTGTTCTGGATTTCAACAAATAATTGGGTGATACTGTGTTGGCAGTGGGGCACAAGCACAAACAACAAAAAACTCAACACACGTGACAATAACACTGCCTTAAAATGTAAAGTGAATGATAGGCGATGCTAAGCTCAATGCTCTCTTTTCATAGCACTTGATAGGATCGACAAAGGGCCACTGCCCGAAACGTCACCTTTTATACACGTGTCCTTTGAAGGCAGTGCTATTTCTGAATGTGAGTTTTTGCCCTGTATTTATATTAGTTCAAAGCCCAAGTTGAATTGCTGTCCAGAAAAAATAAAAACATACCTGGACCCCCCTCTTGCATTAATACTTTAAACAGCATCTCCTTCTCTTTCTCAGGGCGGTCTTGAGACAGCATGTCCAGCAGGCTCTGCAGGCGGGGCACTGAGGAGGCGTCATACCTGCCAAGCACACACAGGCGGCACGTCACACAACAGCCATTGACATTCACAGCTGAGCTGCACAGACATCATTACAATCAAGCTCTCTACATTTGACACTAACAAGCCATTTCAAGTTAATAAAACTCACCTTGTGATGTGATGGAGGATGATGGGTAAATAACGAGAACACAATAAGTCGCGTAAAGAAAATTCGTTTATGATCAACAGCCTATGAGTCTTCTGGAGTAATGCTCTCCAGCAGGATCTATTTAAGCAGGCAGACTGATTAATAACTGGGGCCTTTTTTGCCAGAATAAAAAAAATAAGAATAGGTTCTACCCTTTCTGGCAATAAACAGGAGTTGTTAAGATGTTCAACCACCAAATAGAAACCTTTTGCAAGGAATCAAGTTCACATTAACCACACGTACTTTTGGGGAACATGCAAACCAAAAAAAAACATTCTGATTCCTTGCAAAAGGTTTCTATTTGGTGTTTAAACATCTTAAAACCTCCTGTTTTATTGCCAGAAAGGGTAAAACTTATTCTAATTTTTTCATACTTTGATACTGGCAAAAAAGGTCCCATTTTGTAGCTGCTCACCCCAAGCTATACATGCTCTGATAGTGCATTGTCTTTGTACTGTTCACCTGTTGGCATTCTCTGGTCTGACACTGGTGAGACTAGGCCCTAAAGAATACGTCTCTGGTGTAGTCCAATCAGTTTCAAAGACAATCTATTATCAGAGCATGTTTGTTTGCATATTCACCACAAGTATGCGTGGTTAATGCAAACTTGATTCCTTGCAAAAGGTTTCTATTTGGTGTTTCAACATCTTAAAACCTTGATTTGAAGCTTTCGTGACTGCAGAAATTCATACTCTTTGGTTCTTTCGGTAAAGTCACGTAGGTAGAAAAATAAAACAAAACAAAAATAAAATATCACGACGTTTTGATCGCAACACAAGCGGTCATCCTCGGGCGGAAAAAATAATCCAGCAGTGGAACTGCCACTTAACATTCTGGGAGTGCATAATTTTCAGTACAATTGGTTCAACACAAACAAACTCGGGACTGGTTCATTTGCGCAACACAGCCAAATCCCTGCAGACTCCTCGAGAGCGTTGAACTAGAAAACTCGTGTGTGGGAGTGAGTCGGTGCAAACAGCCCAAGAGAGAGAAGCTCCTCACCAGCGGATCTCCATCAGCTCCTTGATGAGGTTCCTAAGTGGGTCCGTTTTCTCCTTCCAATCCAGCCCTGTCAAGGCGAGACGCGGACTCCAGTCACGAGTTGACACAACGAAGGTTCGTCCACTTTACGATGCGTTACGTTCGGTTTGCATGTCACCCTGGTCCAAGCTTAACGGCAGCTACAGGGGGTAATTACTGTACATTTGACCTCAAACACAAAATACACTGCAATGTGGTGCTGGAGTAGCGTCGAGTGCTTTGCTTAGAGTGAGGAGGCGCGAGCGTTCATCACAACGGGGGTCTCCCTGGAGGGGAGCGCAGCCACCAATGCAGCCGGCACTGCGTTGCGCGAGCGTCACGGCAGCCATTACCTCTCTTCTCGGTTTCCTCGTCCACTTCTTCTTTTGTCTTGACAGAGGAAACACAAACACAGCGGTCACATTATTCTGTCAACAGCAGAACTTGTAACCAGCAGTGTACACCAGTTAACGGGAATACATATGTAACGTTATTACTGCAGTCATAATGGTAATTTACTGGACACAAACATAGACCAGTGATTAAAGTGACTTAACAATAGCTACATTCATATTGGACACGTTCTTAACAGCACGACTATAGCCGGTCAACTTTACAACCTGGCATACGAATGGGGTCTTGGGGAAGGTATTGCTCCACTTTATATCCGCTCCTCCAGTGAAAATGTCTTGAATGTTTATAGTGTAATGTGGAATTTTAAATATTTACTGTAATTAAAATACTGAAAATTAGAAAATACGGAAACAAACATGCATCACTCCAATATAATGAGTAAATATAATATCCAGTAGATTTTTTAATTACCTAAAATTTAGCATGTCACTATCTTCCAAATAAAAAAAAACACTAAAGTATATAACACATGACTAAGCATATAGCGAGTGTGTGTTTTACGAAAGCATGTGCCTATTTTATATGTTTTTGTTATTTATGATTGTTTATATTTATTTAAGCCTAGATTGGTAAAAGCTCCATTGTCTGCATTAAATCCCACCGAATCAAATGCCTTTTCATTGTCCCACACCTACAATTCGCACGGTTGGCTATGTACAGTGTGAAAGGAGTTCAACATATAAATATACAGGTATGAAGGTAGAGGGAATTCTTGAGCATTTTCCAGAATATGACCTATGGCATGTATCACAGCAACATAATACATTTTTCAAAAATTTTATTTGAGAAAAAAAATATTGTTATTATCTATGGGACGTTTTTGCCAGTATCAAAAATGATGAAAAATAATAATAGGTTTTACCCTTTTTGTTAATAAAACAGGTGTTGAGATGATCAAATACCAAATAACTTTTGCAAGGCATCAAGTTTGCATTAACCACACATACTTGTGGCAAAACATGCAAACACACATGCATTGTCTTTGAAACTGATTGGCCTTCACCAGAGACAGCCTTCTGTATGGCCTTGCCTTTCATCATTGCTTTGGACATAACCAGTTTGTATGGGGTTTTTAAGCTATTGGAGGAAACTGGAGAACCCAGAGGAACGTATATAAACTCCACGTGGAAAGTTGGGAATCAAGCCCAGGGCCTTCTTGCTGTGAGGTATAATTGTAACTACTGCACCACACTGTAGAAAATATTTTCAATCCCAGATTTGCTGATGACATTGTGATGATGACAACCATTGGAAGTGATGTACAGGGAATGATATAATAATCTGATGAGGAAGGCTGTGAGTGGTCAAGAAAAATGTGAGCAAACCAAATGTAACGTGCAACAAGTTCCCTAAACAACTGGAAACAGCTGTTGGAAGAAAACAGGTCAAAGTAGGAATACCTAGCGCAGTTACTGAAGGTGAATCTGGATCAACACGATCTAACAAAGTGGCAGACAACAGAAGGTTGCAGTGTTTCTAAAAGCATTAATTGGATAACGAAAAGGACCATGCAACTCCAATGTGCCCAAAGAAGAATGGTGTTAATCAGTGGGTATTATCTGCTATGACTTGTGAACAAGAAAAGTGGACATTGACAGACAAAATGTAACAACATGGAGAGGTGCATGCTTGCAACTCTATTCCGATACAGGAAGAGGAACAGGGATTGCAAAATACACGTGGACTGTTAGGAAGAGTGGGTGCGTTGAGGTGATGGCTGGTGGTCGAGACGAACGGTGGAGTGGCATCCGGTGGAGCGAGTGCGCCCAAAAGAACGTCAAACAGAGAGATGGAGCGGTAGAGTCAGCTGGTGTGCAGCTGTGAGATGGATTGTAGCATCGCGAAACCGAGAGAGACTGCGGCAGCTTGGCAAGGCCTTCACACAGCAGTGGATAGATGATGGCTGCTGATGGTGACTGAGTATCACACAACGCTTTGCCTCCAGTTGGCATGAGACTGACAAGCGCTTATCATCACATGTTTTTAAGTTGTTAAAACCTTGCATTACATTACAAAATGTTTACTGTTCACGATGTTGTCTTTACTGCACTGTAAAAGTACAGAGCTGCATAGGGAGCCACAGAGTTGAATGTGGGAGCAACATCTGTGTTTGGGAGCAGAGCGTGGGGACCTCTGCTGCACCGCGTGGCTGCGACGCTGTCTCGACGATGCCATAACCAAATAGGAAACGTTCAGATTCTCTCTGTTTATTTATTCCTCTGTTTTTTTCCAATTCAGGTTTTTGGAATAAAACATCTTTAATGTTTAACACGTGCGCTTTCATGACCAATGTCATCCAGAATACTGTAGAGGTTTTTTGGGTTAGATAGCGTAAATATATAAATGTGTCGTTAAACCCGCCATCACCTGACACAGCCAATTAGTAAGGCTTGTCACGTAAACGTAACATGCCAATTCGTTGCTAGTGTAGAGGTGATCGCCACTCACCATTCGGTAACCTGCAGTACCATTGAGTGTCAATGGGTTGCAGCAGCGTTACCGCCCTGGGGAAATGCCCGGGGTCAAGCAGAGGTGAGAGCAGATCAGAACGCAAATTCCCCCATTTGGGAAGGACCAATCAGAAGGTGCCAAGCCGATTGGGAAGGACCAATCAGAGGGTTCCACGAGAGAGCGTGGCTTGGACGGAGCCAGCCACGAACCTGTGTAAATGGGAGAGCGCTGAGAACTCGAGGCAGTTCTCTCCACACGAAGACCAAAGCCCGGGCTGAAGATAGCTAGGACCCTGGACCAAGCCTTGTAGCCCTTCTAATGACTGGGGCTTAGTGTACCCAGTGGTCAGGGGAGAATAGATCCTGGATAGACAGGACCCTGGAACCAAGCCTTGCAGCCCTTCTAAGGGCTGAAGCTCCGTGTGACCAGTGGTCGGGGACCCACCGAGCCAGCGGTCGGGTCAGTTAGCCTCCCCTAGGTCCCAGCCAGAGGACGCTAGGTTAGCGGGTAACTCGTGACTAGGTCCCACCAAGTCCGGAGGCCATGCCTCCCTAGGTATCGGGTAAGGGGACCGTATACCCCTTGTGTGTTAGGGACCGTGTCGAAGAAAGACAATAAACAGTGTATGCCTCATAAAGAAGTTTATTCGTCCGTAATTACAACACTATACTAGTGTAATGTGAGGATATATCCGGGTCGCTGACGGATCACAACTCGTCACGATGATTGGCTCTGCTGGTCCTGGTCCATAGCCAATGGGGGGGGGGGGAAGCCTAGGGGCGTGGCCCTGACGTAATGGGAAGGTGACAGCTGTAAGTAGAGGATTGGTTCTGCTGGCTTTAGCCACAGCCAATGGGGAGACGAGTCAGGGGCGTGGTCCCGGGAGCCTACGATGGAGTCTGGAAGATTCCAGAGGCTAACCAGGATTGGTGGAAAGGTACCACGTGACCCGGGTATTAAATAGGGGTGGAGACGAACCACACGTGGTCAGAACTGGAACGAACGGAGGGAGAGGCCACGCGGGAGCGGGGGTCCAGGCTGCCACGTGGCCGCGCGTGTCTCGCTCTCTCTATCCCTCTCACGCTGTCTGTCAGCAGCGTGAAGGAGTGTTGTAAAGAAAGACAAATAAAGACCGGATTCCAGAAGTCGCTTCCACGACCTTTATTACACTAGTACAGCATGCCGGTGTATTGGAGAGCAAAGTCACAACATTTATAATCTGAGTACGACGTTTTATTAGTAATTACAACTAGCATCATCAGGCGATAGCTAGATTTGAGGAGAAATCCTCCTGTTTCGTTTCTTAAATAAACATCTTCAATGTTGCTGCAAAGAACTGTGTTGAAAGCCTCTCGTCTGACTTCCCTTCTCGTGTGTGTTTGAGTAAAACCTCTCTAATCTGGACTCAAGTCAGCCACTATTCAGGTCGAGCTACAGGGGCTCTATGAACATAAATAAATAACCCCCCCAAAGCTGTGACTGCAGCACTGTCCATGCGCTTGTGAACCTGCACGCAGCAAGATGCGGCATTTTGCAGCAAGATGCGGCATTTTGAAGCAAGATGCGGCATTTTGCAGTGACCTGCAACTTGAAATCACCCAACGAGTAGGAGTTAGTGACGTGAGGAATCACCCGGTAAGACCAGGGTGCAGTCTTGATTTCATAGTTAATGTAACTCACAAAGGGAACATCCATGTGATACATTTGGTAGAGTAAAACCCCGGCTAGTCGGACTCATAAGGGACCCCTGGTCTGGCTGGCTGACAAGTCTGGTTAGCTGCACATACAACCATGTTTAGCAATTAAATCTATGAAACATGTGTTTTCAATGCTAGATATAAATCCATAAAAAATCTGTACTGTATTGATGGTGCATTGTGCTGCACTGACCGCACCATTGAGTTGTTGTGAAGCCCTCTGAGAATGATACAGAGGACACACCAGAGAGACAACGAAGAAGAAGAAGGGAGCCGGAGGCAGGGCTTTAAAGAGCTAAACTCAGCGCCACGCAGAGAGCGGGCGTGCGAGAGCGTGCACTGTGGCCATGTGCTGAGGTGGCGCAGGATGCAGCGCAGGTTTATTCTATTTCCTGCACTGGTCTGGCTAAGTGCAATTTACATTATTTTCATTGTGTTTACATATGTATCGTGTTTATCCATGGTGCAGCAATGGATTAAACATATTTAATTCCATCCCCATGCTTCGCTACAATAGACAAAGTGAGCTTCCGTGTTACCTTCGCCTTCCAAACGCCGACACGGCTGTCCAGTGGCGCCTCCTCATCAGCTGAGGTTCTGCTCCTCTGGACCACCGCTGCCGACACAGAGACAGGGCCAGGTGAGTGCCGATACAGACAGGGCCAGGTGAGCGCACACAGTGGGGGGGGGGGGGGGGGAAACAACTCCATGGCACCACGCACGGCCACGGAGCGACGTCTGAAGTTCACACAGCTTGAATTCCTCACGCCACTGAGAAGCTTCCATAGCAATATCCAACACACGCCCAATAATGGATTCCCTTCTCAGCAGAGCTCTTACAAACAGCCTGGAGAAGTCGAGGTATATAACGTGTCTGTAATCAGAATCGCCACAGTAAACTCACAACATAATTTACATGGAGAGTGTTGCTAAATACTTCGAGCTTTTTTGGGTTTTAGTCACTTATGTCAATCCTATTATGGTGGGTGTGCCACAATATCCAAGACAGGATCATATTTAAAAAACATTCATATTTGGTTTAAACCAATGGCAAAAGTGAAAAACGTAACTTCTTCTCAAAGTTTGGGTATGGCTGTGGAAGAGACTGTTGCATTGATTCAGGGTTGGAGTCACCATGGAACCAGAGAGAATGCTACAGAGGGATGGACGCACAGCTCATCACGAGACCAACCGGTCCTCACTAAAATCCAACACAGAGGCCAACAGTTCTCACTAAAACCCAACACGGCCCAACCTGCAGGAGCAGCATGCACCTCCGCCTCGTAGCCGTACAGCTTCTGCACCTTGACCACGTCGCAGGAACTCAGCGTGTTGCTCTCTCCCATGTGCAGCATGGACAGAACGTCCCTGGGGATGATCGTTGGATTGCGCTCATCCACAGAGCCTGCCAACCTGCAAGATACACGTGCTCAGCCTGCATTCATAGTGCAGAGGTGTAGTGGGTGACATCACGTCACGCGCGCCTCGGAGAGAGTGGCGTCGTGGGACGTGACGTCAGGCGGGCCGTGGGGGACGGTGACGTCATGCCCCCAGGGGGATATTTAAAGGGGGACCCGGGATGTAACCGGGGTTGGTTGGGGGTAGGAGTGGGGACTCGGGGAGTTGGTCCTCACACGAGGCTAGGGGAGGCTACTCCGCCCGACCGGCCGAGGTTGGGGGTAGTCCCGGGCCGGGGCAGGGTGGAGAGCCGGGTTAGCCGGGGTGTAGGGATCCCAGTACCCTGTCCCCTGGGGAGTTATTGGCTAGGGGGGTGTTGGTTCGGCGTGTGCCCTTAACAACCTGGCGTAAGCCCTTAATAAACGTGGCGTGATCCCCTAACAGCAACTTGCCTCGGAGTCATAGATTGCGTTACAACAATAGCAACAACCACAGCTAAATACCCACTCATACACACAGCCTACATAAACACAGCCTAAAATACCCACTAATACACACAGCCTACATAGCACACTCATATGTTTGTCCACTTCACAAAGGGGGCCCTAAAGATGATCCAAATAACTACCGACCTATCTCAATTTTGTCCCCGTTGATGAAAATTTTGGAAAAATTATTGAACTACCAAATTATCAGTTTCCTGTCCGACAACAATCTATTAAATCGAAAACAATCTGGGTTCCGAAAAAAATACAGCACCACATCTGCTGCATTAGACTCTGAATCACATTTACAGTAGCCTTGATAATAAGCAATACTGCGCCAGTCTTTTTCTTGACTTGTCCAAAGCCTTTGATACAGTCGACCACAACACCCTGCTTAGTAAACTAAGTTGCCTCCGTTTCTCCAAACACGCAGTAGAATGGTTAAAAATTTACCTCTTCTCGCACCCAAACTGTATTCACAGATGGTTGGAGGTCAAACAGTGTTAAGATAAAAAAGGGGTTCCACAGGGTTCCATCCTCGGCCCCCTCTTGTTCTCTCTTTATGTCAATGACTTGGGCACTGACCTGGATCATTCCAGGGTAAATCTTTTTGCAGATGACACGATACTGATTACTGCTGGCCGCTCTCCAGATGACGTGATTGCTAAGCTCCAGGTTGATTTCAACAAACTACAACATCAGCTAGTTGCTATTAAACTAGTCCTGAATACCTCTAAAACTAAGGTGCTATGCTTCTCACCAGGACTAAAGCAGGAAGTTATTTTTCCCCAATTACATTGCTCAAATAATTATCAAATAGAGCAAGTCAAAGATCTATAAGTATATTGAGGTCATCCTTGATTGAAAACTTAATTTTGAAGATCACATTGATTATATTGGTAAAAAGACAAAAATAAAAATTGGTTTTCTGTATCGACACAAGCACTACTTGATTACTGTGACATCGTATATAAATCAGCCCCCAGTACTGTACTGAATAAGCTTGACGCAATGTATCACTCGGCCTTAAGATTTGCATTGAACTGCCCATATAGGACCCACACTGTGATCTCTACATTGGGTCAAACTTAACATCTCTTAATGGTCGACGGTTTGTGCATCAGATCTTATTTATTCGCGATGTACTCCGCAGACTACCTGCTGGATCTCCGCACTGTTTCGAAGAACAAATGTGACCTAATGTCTTCGCTCATTTACCAGCTTCAACTTTCCTTATTGCCGTACAAATACTGGAGGAAGAGCCTTTGCTATTGATGCCCCAGGGTCTGGAATGCTGCAACTTGGATCACTAACTGTGAGATCTTCCCTCAAAACTGCTCTAGAGGAGTTGTACACCCCTAGCTGCCACTGCTATTCGGTGGCCTGAAATCAAATGTTTCACTTCGGATGACTGCTGCAAAGTATGATCTTGTGTATTGATTATAGTGAGCTGATCTTTGATGGAGTGACTCATGCAGCCAGTTATAGCTTGCAAAGTTTGGTAGTACATGTTATGTATATCGTTTATTGTAAAATTTCAATCACAGTTCCTATGATCACTGTTACATTGCTTTTATAGCTTTATTTTGGTGATTTCGAAAAGGGATTTGGTTTAGCCATTTTTGTTTGTTGTAGTACAGAGTTAAACTGATTATCTTTAAATCTAAATTTTATTATGGTTGTTATTGTTTGACTTGCATCCCACTGAAATTTTTGCACACAGCATTGATATCCGGTGCCTTTTCTGGAAGATTTTGGCAGGTTTTTCCTGGATATTTCTGTTTGCACGTAGTCACTTCCAAATGTTTCTCATTCCTGTTTTTTGTATGTTGTGGTTGCACCCGATTCAAGAGCCGAATGGCTCACAGGGCTAAACCAAATAAATGAAACTGAAATATACAGCCTACATACACACAGCCTACATAAACACAGCTTAATAAACCCACTAATACACACAGCCTACATAGAACACTCATATACAGCCTACATACACACAGCCTACATAAACATAGCCTAATAAACCCACTGATACACACAGCATACATAGCACACTCATATACAGCCTACATAAACACAGCCTAATAAACCCACTGATACACACAGCATACATAGCACACTCATATACAGCCTACATACACAGACCACATAAACCCAATCATACACACAGATGACATAGAACACTCATGCACATAGCCTATATAAACACAACACCCGCCATTCATCACGAAGTGGTGATGACGTCACAATGGCGCTTGTGCCAGGCCAGGTGCACTTTGAGGCCATGTAAAGTGTCAAAGGCTCGCTGACAGGAGGTCACGGGACAGACCCATGTGCCATGGGTTGGCTGACTGAGATGACTGGCAGATGCACCACCTGTGCCCCCTACTGTGCCAACTTGCTGCATTTTAGCTGCTCGTTGTTGTGAGCGACGCTCCTCTGCCCTCCGTTGTTGTTGGAGGGCCACTGCCTCAAACTGACCAATAAAGTTATTCACAAACCTCCTCCATAGAGGCCGATCTTGACACTGCTGGTGAACTTGACAGTCTTCGGCAAGTTCAATCAGCTTCACATCCTTCTGTGATGCATCAGTCCATCTTTTTTCCAACCTGTGTCGCACCCGTTTAGCCCCCTCTATCCAGCCAAACAGCAGCGACATGCGGTGGCTGGTCATGCGGGCTACATGACCCAGCCAACGCAGCCTCGCCTGCCGGAGGAGCTCACTGATGGGACTGTGTCCAGATGTGGAGTAATGTTACAACAACCGCCATTCGCCACTAAGTGGTGGTGACGTCACCACAACGCTTGTGCCAGGCCATGTGCACCTTGAGGTCATGTGAAGTGTCGAACGCCCGCTGGCAGGAGGTCACGGGGCAGACCCAGGTGCCACGGGTCGACTAACTGAGATGGCTGGCTGATGCACCACCTGTGCCCCCTACTGTGCCAACTTGCTGTGCTTTAGCCACCCGGCGCTCCGCTCGTTGTTGTGAGCATCGCTCCTCCGCCCTCCGTTGTTGTTGGAGGGCAACTGCCTCAAACTGCCCAGTAGCGTCCTTCACGAGCCTCCTCCACTGAGGCCGATCTTGACACCGCTGGTACCAGTCATTGGCAAGTCCACTCAGCTCCACATCCTCCTGTACCACATCAATCCATCTCTTCTCTAGCCTGTGCTGCGCCCGTTTATCCCTCTCGATCCGGCCGAACAAAATCTGTTTAGGCATGCGGTGGCTGGGCATGCGGGCTACATGACCCAGCCAACGCAGCCTTGCCTGCCGAAGGAGCTCACCGATGGGACTTTGCCCAGATCTTTGTGAACTCCTCACACAATCCAGCCTGGTTAAACCCAGGATGGATCGTAGGCAGGCCAGCCTAAATGTTTCTAACCGGTGAATATACTCCATTAGGGGGGGTTCACGTTTCGCAAGCATAAAGAAGGGAGGGAATGACCGTGTCCGAGAAGACCTGAAGCTTCGTACGGAGTGACAGACCAGGCAGCTTCCACACAGCATTATGCAACCGATGAAAAGATATTGTCACTCGACTGATTCGGAGTGAGACCTCCGCTGCCAAACCAGAGACGGTCAGTAATGTTACACACACACACACACGTACATGCTGTAGTGCATGACGGAGCTGCAGTCGTAGGGCGCTGCCAAATCCTGTTCGTTTGATTTGATGTCCACAATCTGATCTCTCCATTCTGTAAACAATAAGACAAGCACGTGGTGTGCAGCATCACCATTGCTAATACTAATACCACAGCACAACATCTGTGAATGGTCCTCTAGCATTACTCAGAATCTTGGTTTCACTACCACAGTACAGCACCTGAATGTTCCTTCAGCATTATTCAGCATTATTGTAATTGAAAAAATATTTCTACATTCAGACTGCAGGGTGTGTTTATTCCAGCTGCGCTTTATTTAACCTGGTTACCAAATCGACACAGTGTGCCCACTCCCATCAGCTCTCAGAAGCTAAGTTAGGGTCAGGCCTGGATAGTGCTTGGGATGTGTGACAACCACGCATCCAAAATGTGCAGTAGGTGCTGTAGGCAGAAGTGGAAAGCACAATCCACTGTAGTTCTGTACTCCATCTCCGTCACTCACCTGCTAGGCCAGCGTCGTGAAGTTTGGTGAAATAACCTTCATGGCCAATAGGACACAGGGAGACCCTCATCTTTATGTGGACTGTCTCATGTATAACATCATAGATCCATTATTTATTTATTAACATACTTTATTTAACCATCAGAGTGTATCAGATGGATTATTTCTGCCTGTCCTATATGTAGCCATGAGAGATCACAGAGACTCGAGACAACATCTGAGTGGTCTCTATGTAAGGCAGCACCACGATTTGTCATCTCTTGCTGTGTTCTCTCTTTAGCCACATAATTGCCCAATGAGATTCATGTAACTATGAAACTAGGATGTATTTAAACTGTAGTGGGTTAAATTCAGGCGCACACTGGAACTTTGGTGGCAACACTATTTATTATCTAAATACAACGGGCAACTCTTAATATTAACAGGTTAACGACATAAGGTGGTAACCACCATTCCTAACTTATCTAACACACGGGGATATTACATTTCTGGACCGGAGACCGAGGATCGTAGATGGTGGCTTCATCCCAGACTTGATAGCAGAACAGCCCAGCTCTCCGTCCACGCCCCGTTTATAACCACCCCGGCGTGGCTGGCTCCGCCCCAGGCCACGCCCCCCTTCCCGATCCTTCAAGAAGGCCCTAGCCCTCAACCACGTGACCCCCCTGGGGCCCCTGGCCCTCCTCTATCCGGTCACGTGTCCAGTCGGGATCGCGCAGAGTGTTACGGCCTGACACGACCCCCGTGACACCTGCTTACAGCCCCAATACCGAGCCAATACAGTAGTGTTGTTCTTCTACACTACATCACCCCCCCCCCTCCCCGTGTAACACCCAGCCGTCCCGCCTGTAACGCAATCGTGAAAATATTGAAAGGTGTGCCTCCGAACAAGCAAAGTCAATAAATAACCGACGACCTATTATAAATACCGCGAGAAACATATGTACACATACCGAGAAGGGGGGAAGGGAAGAACGTATGGAACGAGGGGAACCAACAACAACACATGCACATCAAGAAGAACTGGTCAACCTGCTTACCCCTCAGCACAGCCCACTCGTGTGAAAATTACACACGCACCGACATATGAATGTGACTATTTGAACAACGATGTAGGCAATCAAGGTGTGAGATTCATGTACAGCGGCCAGTCTTCGAGCGCGTTCGCATGGCCGAGCCCCCAGGGGAGGAGAGCACGCTCTCCCCGGAGGTCCTGGGGGAACTTGAAAAAGGCCCAAAATGGGCATGGCCCCTCCCCAGGAGTTGAGCAACAGGAAGAGCAGGAGAGACAGACGGGCGCTCCACACCCCCATTCAAGTCCACATCCAGTCAGCACAACCGGCGACTCCAAGGGTGGCAGGTGCTGGAATCCTGTGACGAGAATAAACCCAAACCTGCTGAGGCACAGCACCACGAACACGCACCTCAGCTCGTCAGACACAACAGCCACCCGGCCCCAGGGTAGTGGAGATGATTGTATTCTGCCCGGCGGGAGAAAAGAAAAAAAAATACACTGGTACCTCGGTATACGTCGTTAATTCGTTCCAGAAGTTTGGATTTATACCGAAAATGACGTATACCAAACAAATTTTTCCCATAAGAAATAAAGGGAAAGGAAACAATCCGTTCCAGAGTATAAGAAATTATATTTTATATGGCATCTTATACATTAATGGGGTTGTATATATAATTTAGATACTACTTATTACTTAAATGCATACATAAATAAAAATAAATGCATAAATAAATTTAAATCAAAATAAAATTTAACATCACTTTACCTTGCTGAGAGGAGTTGATAGCCTACAAGGATGGTGGTGAGGAAGGGGAGGAGGAGATGTTATTTTTTGGAAGATTCCAGGAACACAGGATGAGATGTTACTATCCTTTGTGCAAGCACTTCCAAGAGTTCATGAACAGTGAGCCTGGTGAAATTTGGGGAGCGCATCGTCAGTAGAGTACCTTTGGTTCCTAGGGTGTTTCGGCCTTTCACACTATACACCCTCCCCAAAGGCGGCCAGCGACAGGGTGATCAATCCTACGCTTGCGTCCCATTCCCAATTAGTCATAGGAGTTGCCTTGTTGTTGATAGCCAACATCCCATGGGACTATGCATGGCAGGGGCGTCCTCCTCCCCGAGTCAAGCATTGTTGACCGCATACCTCCTGGCCCTCTCACTTCGGGGCCCAGCTGGGGTCTTTCCTCTTCATCCACAGCCACTGACTGCTGCCTTCTGCCGCCTCCGATACAGCTCTGATTGCCGAATGCTGGCTCTGGCCCTTAATTCCCAGGTCTCTAAGCAGTCTGGTTGTAGATGTTGCCACAAAACCTCTGCAGCCCACCTCCACTGGTCGGACTTCTGTGTTCCTCTTCCATTAAAACTTCAGGAAGCAGAAATTATGTGGTTTTTTCTCTTTCTATTTTCTGTCTTTTTTCTTGACTTGGACCTGGTTGAGGCTCATCAGGTTTGAGTTTTACTAAAAACCTATCCATTGAAGTTTGTTTTTTCCTTCTTCTAAGAATGTTCCTGAAGTGTGATATTGTCTGATCATTCCACACAATACTGTTACGGCTTGTTAGAGCTTTATTGGGGTGGTATTTTTCTGCAAAATGTTGCACTGCCATCCATTTTCCACATATTTCTTTAATAAGTGAAGTAGGGGCTTCCTCTATCTCCTCCTCCTCGCCTGAAGAGAGTGCGCATCCATCTTCACCTGGTGTTCCTTCCTCTTAAGCTGCCGCAGCTCCTCAATGGTCAGCTCTTCTTTGTGCCCCTCCACTAACTCCTCCACATCATTATCATTGACCTTCAGGCCCATGGACCTGCCCAGGGAGACAATATCCTCAACAATAGGCACAGCCTCAAAGCCCTCAAAGTCCCTTGCAGTTACGGCTTCTGGCCACAAATTCCTCCAGGCAGAGAGTATGGTCTTGTAGGAAACTTCCTGCCAGGCTTTGTGTATAAGAGTTATACAGTGCACAATTTAAAAAATACTCTTTCCAGAACTCTCTGAGGGTTAATTCTGTGTCAGAGGTCACTTCAAAGCACCTCTGAAAGAGGGCTTTGGTATACAGTTTATTAAAATTTGAAATGACCTGCTGGTCCATGGGCTGAATCAGAGGAGTCGTATTAGGGGGCAAAAACTTCACAGTGATGAAGTCGAACTCTGGCAGCACATCGTCCTGCAAGCTTGGAGGGTGTGCAGGAGCATTGTCCATTAGAAGGAGGGCCTTTAGAGGCAGTTGTTTCTCCTATAAATATTGTTTTACACTTGGCCCAAACACGACATTGAACCAAATTTCGATTTAAAGCTTTCGTGACTGCAGGGATTCATATTCTTGGTTCTTTCGGTAAAGTTACGTATAAAGAAATTAATAAAATAATAAAAATAAAACATAATAAAATAATTCTCACGACGTTTCGGCCACAACGCAAGTAGCCGTCTTCAGGTGAAGAACAGGTCTGTCAAGGAGACAGAATCTGAATGGAACGCTCCAGGTTTGGAGCGACTATTTATGTTGGGATGGAGGAACGAAGAGCGTCTTGACAAAATAATTTGCATATCAAGAGGAATTTAGCATATTTATGGGAAATGCAGAAATGCGATTAGTGCTACTTGTGAAATGCGTAGGGGGTCTGGCGAGGGGTTTAAAGTCACTATGCCCATGCATTATGCAGGATTAGCAGCATCAAAGGGAGGAAGTGAGGTCAGAATTAATAAAGGGAAGGAATGTTAATAATATGGCGCAATGGGAGACTAGGGGTAGGAGGCTTGCAGTGGAGCAAAGAATCCATTCCTTGCGGAGAATACAAGATATATAGTCAATGTCAGTGAGTGGACTGCGGTCTGAAAGTCACCATAAACGTGAACACGATCAGTTAAGATCCGAAATGGTTTATTACGTCCTTCCAATGATTGCTGAGCCAGAATTCATCTTCTCGGTTGAAATTGTCTCTGTGTTTGTATATGTGGATCGCCTCATGGACGAATCTCTCATGGTAGCCGGATGGCTTGCAGAGAACTTCTGTCTTGGAGAAGTCAATATCATGTGAGCCCACTGAATTGTAACAGTGATCTGCCACGGCTGAGGTGTTTGTCCTAACGTGTTTCAAATCTGCTTTATGTTCACGGATGCGGTCCGAGACATGCCGTTTGGTTTCTCCAATGTAACTGCTACCACAGAGGCAACTTAGTTTGTAAACGCCAGGGTACTGTATGTCTGGAACTACGTCTCTTACAGACGGGACCAGATCACGGATTTTGTGTACCGTGTTGAATCGGACCCGGATCTTGTGTTTTACCAGGATTTTGGAGATCTTTTTTGTGACCCCAGCAATGTAGGGTAAGGTGATGGTTTTGAAAGGCTCCTCAACAGGATCCTTCTTGATGGTTGGAGTGATGGCTTTGCGGATTGTGTAGTCGGAGTATCCATTAGCCTTAAGAGCTTGGCGTACGTGTTTGAGTTCACTGGCAATGTGTTCTTGGTCGGAGATGCATTGGGCTTCAATGATTGCGATGGTGTCAGGTACAGGAAATTTGGTGAATAAAGAAACCACATCAAAACTGACAACAGGTCGTCTGGGGACAGG